TTAGTGTGAGGGATTGCTGAAGAGTCAATGAGTCGATGCAATCAGCTGGTTTTCCTTAGATAGAAAACTTTGAATCAATCTGACTGGATGATCTGGTGAACTGGAAAGTGACCTGAGATGACAGGATGTGAATTGGAGCTATAGAAATAAACTGAATAGAACTCTGATCCGTCCATCCTTTGTATAGTTCTTGTATCAGTTACCTCCTCTTCCCCTTTTTATTTTATTTGACCTTTTTCCAGTAAGTAGCGCCAGTAAATTATTTACTAATTTTTCCTAATGTATAGAAGATTTCCACCCCAGCATTTTTGGTCTTAGCCAAAGAAGTTATGTTCATAACGTTTGTATTTCCGTAAAAGTTCTGTAAAATGTTTGTATGTTAATGTTAATTGAAAATAAGAATAAAAATACAATAACATAAGCACTTTATTACTTTGTTATTTTTTGTTTTTGGAATTCATATGAATATATATTGGTGTGATACCATAGTATTCATTTAACTGGTTTTTGGTATTCGTCTATTTCAAAGTCCAGCTGCTGTCCAGCCTTCTTTCCTTCAGTCTAGTGACCAACTGAACGCTGCTCTCCATAATCCTGACGGTCTTATATCTGTGGCTTACATTAACTCCTATTCTGCATGGATTCCTTTATATGTTCTGCTCTAAAACTATTTCATCACCTTGTTTCTGATGCCTTCTATTCTGCTGAAGGCATCCGCTGTGTTTTGTTCAGCTAATGACTCAGTTCTAGTTTGTTTTCTTTGGATCTCAGCGAGGTGCCGATGACTCAACATTTGTGTTATGAGAGCAGATTTTATTCTCTGTTGGGTCAGAACACATAGAAGCTGGGTTTTTTTAGGAGATGTTTCTTTTTCTGTAACTTTTCTCATCCTTGAAGTAATGAAAATAGATGCGCATTTATCCAGGTGGCTAGTTTTGTAACCGATTATGAGCTCGGCACTGATTTCTGCTCTGATTACTCATTTCACACACCTGCTTAGCTTCACCCAGTTCCCATTAGCTGCTCATCTGATCCACCTGCATTAGTCTCTATTTAGCCCGCCTTCAGACCAGTCATCAGTGCCAGATTATATGGAGCCATTGGTGAGAATTTCTCTACAGAGAAAATAAGAATGAGAATAAAGTCGTAACATTACCAGAATAAAGTTGTAACATTACGAGAATAAAGTTGTAATATTACGAGAATAAAGTCGTAACATTACCAGAATAAAGTCGTAATATTACCAGAATAAAGTCGTAACATTACCAGAATAAAGTTGTAATATTACCAGAATAAAGTCGTAATATTACTAGAATAAAGTCGTAATATTACCTGAATAAAGTCGTAATATTACCAAAATAAAGCTGTAATATTGTGAGAATAAAGTTGTAACATTACTAGAATAAAGTCGTAATATTACCAGAATAAAGTCGTAATATTACCAGAATAAAGTCGTAACATTACGAGAATAAAGTCGTAATATTACCAGAATAAAGTCATAATATTAACAGAATAAAGTTGTAACATTACGAGAATAAAGTTGTAACATTACGAGAATAAAGTCGTAATATTACCAGAATAAAGTTGTAACATTACGAGAATAAAGTCGTAACATTACCAGAATAAAGTTGTAACATTACTAGAATAAAGTTGTAATATTACCAGAATAAAGTCGTAATATTACGAGAATAAAGTCGTAACATTACCAGAATAAAGTCGTAACATTACGAGAATAAAGTCGTAATATTACCAGAATAAAGTCGTAATATTACTAGAATAAAGTCGTAATATTACCAGAATAAAGTCGTAACATTACGAGAATAAAGTCGTAACATTACCAGAATAAAGTCGTAACATTACGAGAATAAAGTCGTAATATTACCAGAATAAAGTCGTAACATTACGAGAATAAAGTCGTAACATTACCAGAATAAAGTTGTAACATTACGAGAATAAAGTCGTAATATTACGAGAATAAAGTCGTAATATTACCAGAATAAAGTTGTAATATTACCAGAATAAAGTCGTAACATTACCAGAATAAAGTCGTAATATTACCAGAATAAAGTCGTAACATTACGAGAATAAAGTTGTAACATTACCAGAATAAAGTCGTAACATTACCAGAATAAAGTCGTAATATTACCAGAATAAAGTCGTAATATTACCAGAATAAAGTCGTAATATTACCAGAATAAAGTCGTAACATTACTAGAATAAAGTCGTAATATTACCAGAATAAAGTCGTAATATTACCAGAATAAAGTCGTAACATTACGAGAATAAAGTCGTAATATTACCAGAATAAAGACGTAATATTACCAGAATAAAGTCGTAACATTACCAGAATAAAGTTGTAACATTACGAGAATAAAGTCATAATATTACCAGAATAAAGTTGTAACATCAAGAGAATAAAGTTGTAACATTACGAGAATAAAGTTGTAACATTTCTAGAATAAAGTTGTAATATTACCTGAATAAAGTCGTAATATTACCAAAATAAAGCTGTAATATTGTGAGAATAAAGTTGTAACATTACTAGAATAAAGTCGTAATATTACCAGAATAAATTCGTAATATTACCAGAATAAAGTCGTAACATTACTAGAATAAAGTCGTAATATTGCCAAAATAAAGTCGTAATATTACCAGAATAAAGTTGTAACATTACGAGAATAAAGTCGTAACATTACCAGAATAAAGTTGTAATATATTCAGAATAAAGTCGTAACATTACGAGAATAAAGTCGTAACATTATGAGAATAAAGTTGTAATATTACCAGAATAAAGTTCGTAACATTACCAGAATAAAGTTGTAATATTACCAGAATAAAGTCGTAATATTATGAGAATAAAGTCGTAATATTACCAGAATAAAGTCGTAATATTACCAGAATAAAGTTGTAACATTACCAGAATAAAGTCGTAATATTACCAGAATAAAGTCGTAATATTACCAGAATAAAGTCGTAATATTACCAAAATAAAGCTGTAATATTGTGAGAATAAAGTTGTAACATTACTAGAATAAAGTCGTAATATTACCAGAATAAAGTCGTAATATTACCAGAATAAAGTCGTAACATTACCAGAATAAAGTTGTAATATTACCAGAATAAAGTCGTAATATTAACAGAATAAAGTTGTAACATTACGAGAATAAAGTTGTAACATTACGAGAATAAAGTCGTAATATTACTAGAATAAAGTTGTAATATTAAGAGAATAAAGTCGTAATATTACCAGAATAAAGTTGTAACATTGTGAGAATAAAGTTGTAATATTACCTGAATAAAGTCGTAATATTACCAGAATAAAGCTCGTAATATTGTGAGAATAAAGTCGTAACATTACTAGAATAAAGTCGTAATATTACCAGAATAAAGTCGTAATATTACCAGAATAAAGCTGTAATATTGTGAGAATAAAGTTGTAACATTACTAGAATAAAGTCGTAATATTACCAGAATAAAGTCGTAATATTACCAGAATAAAGTCGTAACATTACGAGAATAAAGTCGTAATATTATGAGAATAAAGTTGTAATATTAACAGAATAAAGTTGTAACATTACTAGAATAAAGTTGTAATATTACCTGAATAAAGTCGTAATATTACGAGAATAAAGTCGTAACATTACCAGAATAAAGTTGTAATATTACGAGAATAAAGTTGTAACATTACTAGAATAAAGTTGTAATATTACCAGAATAAAGTCGTAATATTACCAGAATAAAGTCGTAATATTACCAAAATAAAGCTGTAATATTGTGAGAATAAAGTTGTAACATTACTAGAATAAAGTCGTAATATTACCAGAATAAAGTCGTAATATTACCAGAATAAAGTCGTAACATTACTAGAATAAAGTCGTAATATTGCCAAAATAAAGTCGTAATATTAACAGAATAAAGTTGTAACATTACGAGAATAAAGTCGTAATATTACCAGAATAAAGTCGTAATATTACCAGAATAAAGTCGTAACATTACCAGAATAAAGTTGTAACATTACCAGAATAAAGTCGTAATATTACCAGAATAAAGTTGTAACATTACGAGAATAAAGTTGTAACATTACGAGAATAAAGTCGTAATATTACCAGAATAAAGTTGTAATATTACCAGAATAAAGTCGTAATATTACCAGAATAAAGTCGTAATATTACCAGAATAAAGTCGTAATATTACCAGAATAAAGTCGTAATATTACCAGAATAAAGCTGTAATATTGTGAGAATAAAGTTGTAACATTACTAGAATAAAGTCTTTACATTACGAGACAGAAAATCTTAATATTACGAGAAAAAAGCCGTAAAATTAAGAGAATAAAGTCGTAACATTACGAGAATACAGTTGAACTTTTTTTCTTATAATGTTACGATTTTATTCTCCTAATTTGACAACTATTCGCATAATGTTACGACTTTATTCTCATCATTTTACAATTTTTTTCCTCCTAATACTATGACTTTATTATCAAAACAAAAACATAAAAAAATCTCTAACCTGGCCCTAATACTCCATCATAGTCTCGAACCAACAACCTCAGCACTGAAAGTCAATGCTCTACAGCTGATGCCACCAACATTGATAGCGGTTCAACAAACAGCAATGCTAGCAAAACTAAAGCTTTCGGAACCACCTCCTAATGCGATAATTTTTTATCACGGTATCCAGGCGTCATTAATTTTGCCCCCTCCCCTAAATGAATCACGCCTCCACACGCCCTCCATTACTGACACGCCTGGAAGCCATGGATCATCTCATATTATCACTCCCTTCTAGCCTCCTCTATTCACACCTGCTCCCAATCTACTAATTAGCCTGGTCTTTGTTCCGTCTCCCATGTATACACCTCATCTTCAGTCACTGTTGGCTTTTTCCTCCTCTATTGTTTTGTTGTCATCTCCTTGCTGTGTTCACCCTGATGTTACTGGATGTTGTTTTGGTTCTCAGTATTTTGTATTTCTGATTTTTTTGCCTTGGACGTCTAATTAAAACCTTTGCCCCCTAACTGCTGCCCGGGTCCTCACTGCTGCCCGCCCCCTCACTGCTGCCCGGGTCCTCACTGCTGCCCGCCCCCTCACTGCTGCCCGGGTCCTCACTGCTGCCCGGGTCCTCACTGCTGCCCGGGTCCTCACTGCTGCCCGCCCCCTCACTGCTGCCCGGGTCCTCACTGCTGCCCGCCCCTCACTGCTGCCCGGGTCCTCACTGCTGCCCGCCCCCTCACTGCTGCCCGGGTCCTCACTGCTGCCCGGGTCCTCACTGCTGCCCGGGTCCTCACTGCTGCCCGCCCCCTCACTGCTGCCCGGGTCCTCACTGCTGCCCGCCCCCTCACTGCTGCCCGGGTCCTCACTGCTGCCCGGGTCCTCACTGCTGCCCGCCCCCTCACTGCTGCCCGGGTCCTCACTGCTGCCCGCCCCCTCACTGCTGCCCGGGTCCTCACTGCTGCCCGGGTCCTCACTGCTGCCCGCCCCCTCACTGCTGCCCGGGTCCTCACTGCTGCCCGGGTCCTCACTGCTGCCCGGGTCCTCACTGCTGCCCGCCCCCTCACTGCTGCCCGGGTCCTCACTGCTGCCCGCCCCCTCACTGCTGCCCGGGTCCTCACTGCTGCCCGGGTCCTCACTGCTGCCCGCCCCCTCACTGCTGCCCGGGTCCTCACTGCTGCCCGCCCCCTCACTGCTGCCCGGGTCCTCACTGCTGCCCGCCCCCCTCACTGCTGCCCGGGTCCTCACTGCTGCCCGGGTCCTCACTGCTGCCCGCCCCCTCACTGCTGCCCGGGTCCTCACTGCTGCCCGCCCCCTCACTGCTGCCCGGGTCCTCACTGCTGCCCGGGTCCTCACTGCTGCCCGCCCCCTCACTGCTGCCCGGGTCCTCACTGCTGCCCGCCCCCTCACTGCTGCCCGGGTCCTCACTGCTGCCCGGGTCCTCACTGCTGCCCGCCCCCTCACTGCTGCCCGGGTCCTCACTGCTGCCCGGGTCCTCACTGCTGCCCGGGTCCTCACTGCTGCCCGCCCCCTCACTGCTGCCCGGGTCCTCACTGCTGCCCGCCCCCCTCACTGCTGCCCGGGTCCTCACTGCTGCCCGGGTCCTCACTGCTGCCCGCCCCCTCACTGCTGCCCGGGTCCTCACTGCTGCCCGCCCCCTCACTGCTGCCCGGGTCCTCACTGCTGCCCGCCCCCTCACTGCTGCCCGGGTCCTCACTGCTGCCCGGGTCCTCACTGCTGCCCGCCCCCTCACTGCTGCCCGGGTCCTCAGAAAGCTCCACCTAACCTTGACAATAACTGAAAACAGAAGGAAAAGGATCCCACCACCATGATCACCTGTATCACATCTATATGCTGTATTTCTGAGCTGGGGGAGACTTCCGGTGTGTTTTAAATCTTTGGACATCTCCCCCACCTGCAGCTTTATCTATAAATGTTTTCTCCATGTTTTAAAGTTTCCGTCCTTCAGGGGGTTTGCATGAATTTAAAGGAGATTGGATCTTATAGCCAGAGGGGAGGTGAGGGAGTATTAAACCGGCGCGCGCGGGCTCAGCTTTCCCCAGTCTGCTGTGATCTGGTAGAAAACTGCTTTCCACTCAGTTTGTTGTGAATGTTTGGGCTGGAGGCGCGCAGAGCGCTCCTGACTCTGGCTGAAAAGCAGCAATTCCCTGGAGGTTGCGCATCAATATTGGGACATTTCCTACCAGCAGCCGCGCAGATGATTGTTTTAAAAGCAAAAGAGTGAGGCATGAAGGATTGGCAGGAGAAAATGACATCATAACTCCCTCTCTCTTTCGCTCCGTATCAGAGGTGCGTGCGGTGCGGTGCGGTGCGCACGGATGGAATGGAGCGGATCTCTCACGGAGATCACAGCGCTGCGGTTTCATTAGACGGGAAAAAGGAGTCAGAGTGAATCAGGAGGAAAAGCTTTGAGATTATCTGCTGGGTTTCCAGAGGATCCAGGAGGAGCGGAGAGGAGCAGAGAGGAGAGGAGAGGAGAGGAGCGGAGCGGAGCGGCAGGAGCGTCAATCTGTGGGAGAAACTTCGCTGTTTGCCATGAACCATGAGTAATGAGAGCAGCGAAGTTGGAGGCTTCCAGCCTCTCTGGAACTTTAACGGTGAGTTCAGATCATCTTTACTGGAAAAGTTCATGGAGAGAAAAGTCCCCCCCCCCCATTATATTATGATATATTAATATAGATGCATGAAGTGAAATTTATCTTCATTTAGGTTTAATTAAAATCCTGTCTTATTAGGTCGATATACATTCAGAATTTGACTTTTGACTTAATTTAAGTTAAAAATAACAGTTTTTCTATTAAAATCTGAGTTAGAACTCGAGAAAAACGGATCAGTTCAGCTGTAAAAATGTTTTTTATTTATTTAGAAAAAAATATTTAGCAGACAGATTTAGCATCATTTTCAGTGAGAAAGGCTGATTCCCTCCATGGCAGGTGCAATACAGGGGGCAACGGGGGCCAGTGCCCCTGTAGATCATGTCCTGGCATGAAGGAATCAAAGAAGGAATCAAAGAAGGAACGACCCAAGGAAGGACAAAAGAGGAAGGAAGGAATCAAGGAAGGAAGGAACCAAGGAAGGAACAACCCAAGGAAGGAAGAAACCAAGGAAGGAAGGAACCAAGGAAGGAATGACCAAAGGAAAGAAGAAAGAGGAAGGAAGGAATCAAGGAAGAAAGGAATCAAAGAAGGAACAACCCAAGGAAGGAAGGAAGGAATCAAAGAAGGAACGACCCAAGGAAGGACAAAAGAGGAAGTAAGGAATCAAGGAAGGAAAGAAACAAGGAAGGAACAACCCAAGGAAGGAAGAAAGAGGAAGGAAGGAACCAAGGAAGGAAGGAACCAAGGAAGGAAGGACCCAAGGAAGGAAGGAAAACATTTTTTACAGCTGAATTGATCAGTTTTTCAATTTCATATTTCAGATTCAGATTTTATCGAAAAACTGTCATTTTATTTAAATTAAGTCAAAAATATGTAAAATTCCTAAATTCTGAATGTATATTGACCTAAAAAGACAGAATTTTAATTAAACCTAATCCAGCTATATTAATGTATTTGAATCCCTTATCCTGTTTTTTATTTCATGCTTTTCTGTTCCCCCATGAAAACACACCGGCCCCCTCCTGGCCCCCCCCTGGCCCCCTCCTGGCCCCCCCCTGGCCCCCTCCTGGCCCCCCCCTGGCCCCCCCCTGGCCCCCTCCTGGCCCCCTCCTGGCCCCCCCCCCCGGCCCCCTCCTGGCCCCCTCCTGGCCCCTGGAACATTTGGTCTAGGACCGCCACTGCATGGGAAGATAACAAAAAAAAAATGTCCAGTTGTGGGGGGTTTAAAGGCACACCCTAAAATCGGATGGATTTTCTGTGTCCAACCACGTCATTGTGGTAAAAACAGATGATCTAATTTGTTAAAATGAGAAAAAATCAACAACTTGGTCACTTTGACCAAAATGTTGGTTAATAATTGTAATAATCAACGATTTGAGCCGAAAACCCTTCAGCTGCATCTGACGCCGCTGTCACTGCTAACGTGACATGGGATTTATTACTAGTTAATACGGATGCTGCTAGTTAATACAGATGCTACTAGTTCATACTGATGCTACTAGTTAATACTGATGCTAATAGGTCATACTGATGCTACTAGTTAACGCTGATGCTACTAGTTAATACTGATGCTGCTAGTTAACACTGATGCTACTAGTTAATACTGATCAAAGCCAGGATTAACGTGCTGTACATGAACACATCACTGGAATTGTTTTCTGGTTCCAGAACTCCCAGTCAGAGAATGAAACCATCAGCCACCATTTTGTTTCATTCAGGAGTTTTTAGACGTCTGCGCCGTCGGACTGATATTTCTGTTCTTCAAAACCCTGATTTATGCAATTAGACAGATTTAGCAGAAAACATTCAAGGTTTTATACAGAAATAACTAATTTATGCCTGTAAATGATCTGGTTTACCTTTCATTTGTCAACAAGTTAAATGATTACTCTAATAAAAAAGGAAAACTTTAGAATTTTCTGTGGATTATTTGGATTTCAAGGGTTAATTGGTTGATCTGTAACCGATATATTGGTTAATAAATAGATTAGATTGGATGTTTTTCCAACTGATCTGACTTTTTAAAGTTTTATTGTTACTAAATCCAACGATATAATCAATTATTGATGTCAAACAGGTGTAAAGGCCTTAGATGAGGAGCTGGTTTTATTGTTATTCTCAATCATCTGAACATTAAACTCTGGATAAAATTATTCCATGTTCAGAAAAGCTCTAGACTTTATTCACAGCACCAGGGGGAGGGAGGTCCTTCCTTACTCCCTCAGTTCCTTCCTTACTCCCTCAGTTCCTTCCTTACTCCCTCAGTTCCTTCCTTACTCCCTCAGTTCCTTCCTTACTCCCTCATCCTTCCTTTCTCCCTCATCCTTCCTTACTCCCTCATCCTTCCTTACTCCCTCGTCCTTCCTTCCCTCGGTTCCTTCCTTACTCCCTCATCCTTCCTTACTCCCTCGTCCTTCCTTCCCTCGGTTCCTTCCTTACTCCCTCAGTTCCTTCCTTACTCCCTCATCCTTCCTTCCCTCGGGTCCTTCCTTACTCCCTCATCCTTCCTTTCTCCCTCATCCTTCCTTACTCCCTCATCCTTCCTTACTCCCTCATCCTTCCTTACTCCCTCGTCCTTCCTTCCCTCGGTTCCTTCCTTACTCCCTCAGTTCCTTCCTTACTCCCTCATCCTTCCTTACTCCCTCATCCTTCCTTCCCTCGGTTCCTTCCTTACTCCCTCATCCTTCCTTCCCTCGGTTCCTTCCTTACTCCCTCGTCCTTCCTTCCCTCGGTTCCTTCCTTACTCCCTCGTCCTTCCTTCCTTCGGTTCCTTCCTTACTCCCTCATCCTTGCTTCCCTCGGTCCCTTCCTTACTCCCTCATCCTTCCTTACTCCCTCATCCTTCCTTACTCCCTCATCCTTCCTTACTCCCTCATCCTTCCTTTCTCCCTCATCCTTCCTTACTCCCTCATCCTTCCTTTCTCCCTCATCCTTCCTTACTCCCTCATCCTTCCTTACTCCCTCGTCCTTCCTTCCCTCGGTTCCTTCCTTACTCCCTCATCCTTCCTTACTCCCTCGTCCTTCCTTCCCTCGGTTCCTTCCTTACTCCCTCAGTTCCTTCCTTACTCCCTCATCCTTCCTTCCCTCGGGTCCTTCCTTACTCCCTCATCCTTCCTTACTCCCTCATCCTTCCTTTCTCCCTCATCCTTCCTTACTCCCTCATCCTTCCTTACTCCCTCATCCTTCCTTCCCTCGGTTCCTTCCTTACTCCCTCATCCTTCCTTCCCTCGGTTCCTTCCTTACTCCCTCGTCCTTCCTTCCCTCGGTTCCTTCCTTACTCCCTCATCCTTCCTTACTCCCTCATCCTTCCTTTCTCCCTCATCCTTCCTTTCTCCCTCATCCTTCCTTTCTCCCTCATCCTTCCTTACTCCCTCATCCTTCCTTACTCCCTCATCCTTCCTTTCTCCCTCATCCTTCCTTACTCCCTCATCCTTCCTTACTTCCTCATCCTTCCTTCCCTCGGTTCTTTCCTTACTCCCTCATCCTTCCTTCCCTCGGTTCCTTCCTTACTCCCTCGTCCTTCCTTCCCTCGGTTCCTTCCTTCCTTCCTCCCTTCCTATTCGTCATATTCTGATGGATTCTCTCTTGGATCCTTTAAATGTTTTTCTGGATAAAATGCGAATTATCGTCTTTCTATTACGATGGGAAAATATCTGCATCCTCTGTGGAAGATACAGTCTGTTGGTAAAAAGCCTAAATATTGTAATTTTCTTTCCTTTTTCCAAATGTTATAAATCGTTAAATATAAAGGCACGTCTCTGCGTGTTAATGGATGCAGATAAGTGCTGCAGTCGGTTTCTAACTCGTGTCGCTTTAGTTGATATTTTCTGCTCTTTCTTGGGGCTGAAGTGTTAAACCTCAGAGCTTAAACTCAGATTAAATCTGACTCCCCATCCTGAGCCTACGGTAGTTAGATAGATAATCCCAACTAGAGCAGAATGTTGAATATATGGATGTAAATGATGAGCTGAGGTCCACTCAGCTTCCCAGGAGTCTGTTGACATGATGGAGGAGAACATGAAGCTGGTGAACTCCTGGTGCTCTGAGGAGATAAGAGGAGAGAAATGAGCTTCCTTACTCCTTCATCCTTTTCACAATCAGAGCTCAAACAGCTTCTGTGTTCATTTGTCACCCGTCTCTAATCCGCCTGCTGTGCTGCCTGCTCCTCCGATGCTGAGGCCCAGGAGTGGATGTGGGTTTTAGTGACGGAGCCTTTTAAACACAATCTGGGCTCCTGATTATTAAACTATTTGTTTTAATTTAATGGATTTTTAGGTTTTCTTTGTTTTGGTGCGAAAACAACAGGAAACTTTCACTCAGAGTTTTAG